GTGAGGGGGCCTGGGGCGAGTTTGGGGGGGGGGGGGGTGTGTTCGTTGGGTTCCCCGGAGAGGAGGGAAGGCAGAGGTCCACCCTCAGCGAGCGAGTGGCCAGGCGGGCGTGGGGATGGCAGGGCGGTGTGCCCAGCATGTGTGCCCTGATGCCGCTCTCTGCTGTTTGTGTCCAGGTGGCTGGGGCGCGGCTAGAGCGGGGGAGAGGCCGGAGGCGGGGGGCGCCCGAGAGGAGGAGGAGGAGGAGGGGTTCCTAGCTAAACTTAAGAAACTGTTTCGCTCCTGACTCGCCCCGCCCCCCGAGGTAGGCAGCCTCTTCTGTTCTTTCCACGCACGGGACTCTCTGTCCTGCTGCAGGCGGGAGGGGATGTCAGTTGGGACGGGGGGGGGGAGTTGTCGGGGAGACCCCCCCACAGGAGGGAGGCTGGCCTGCCCCCCCCATCTCTGCAGGCAGCACCCCCCCCCCATGGACTCCCTCTGCTCCCGGCATTCCACGTTCCCAGAGGGCCTGTTTCCTTCAGTCACCGGCAAGACAAGGTGGGAGGGGAGGCGGGGTGTAGGCATCTCCTGTAGGCAGGGAAAGGGCAGTGGAGGCAGAACGCAGCCGATGCCAAGGGTGGGCGACCCCCCAAACACACCCCTCGAGGCAGGCCTCTGTTTGATCAGAGAGCCCCGTCAGAGAAGGTGGGAGTGCCCCCGTCCCCTCTCCAGGCAGAGGTTAGCTCTAGGAGGCAGCAGGCAGGACAAGGTGCCCGGGGGGAGTCCGTGAGCCTCGCAGAGAGAGACTGCCCCTTCCTCTCGCAGCCCACCCTTGTTCAGGAGTTCACTCAGTAGTAGCTCTTTCTGCCCGTTGAGCTTGAGGCACATCGACAGGACTTCTCTTTGTTGCTTTTGTGCTTCAGGGAAACGTTCTGCCGGAAACTAGACCGAGATGGCAGCTGCCCGGGAGCCGGAGGAGGAAGGAGTCCAGAACCTCGCCGCAAATGCCAGCCAGATGGCCCGGGCCTGCGTGGCAGTGGGGTGTGTGTGTGTCCGTGGAGCGGCCACCTTTGCAAACCTGGCTGCGGAAAGGAGGAAGGACTTGGCTGCCGCCACCATGGAAGAACCAGCCTCTTCCTGCTCTTCTGGACAGATGGGAATCTGGACAGGCCTGGCTGGATGCTGCGTCTGGCTGCCCCCAGGCCCTGTGGAGAACTGACCAGGGAAGGAGGGCGGCTTCCTTGCTGGCTTTGCCATCCGCAGGCCTGGCGGACAGGCTGCTCTGGGGCCAGGAGCACCTGGCAGGCCCTCTTCCCTCCCGCCCCCTCGGCTCTGAAGGCGGGGACGGTTTCCTCTGGACTGCCGAGCGGCGGCTGGAGCCCTTCCTCCGAGCGCGTTCTGCCCTCGGCTCGGAAGCGGAGCCGGAGGGGACGAAGGCCCGGCCTTCGGGGGCCCTCGACACGATCCCTCCTCGCACAGGCTTTGCTCTCTCGTCAAGGCTCGCGGCTTGGTCTGTGGCCAAGCGCACGCCTCTCTCTCGGCCCACCTGCCCAGGTTGGGGAGCCCTGGCCAGCCGCGGAGTCGGCAGGTGGGAATGTCACAGAGGTGTGGGCGGGGGGGGGGGGGGTTCCCGAATCGTGGCCCGGTGGGGGGGGGGTGTCTCCGAATCGTGGCCAGGCCTGCGTGAATGTGGCCACCACGCCCGTCTGACACCGCCGCCGCCCCCCTGCCCTTCCGTGCTCCTTTGCGCCCCTCCCTGTCACCGAGTAGCACACGTGGCCGTCCAACTCAGTTGGTCTGTTGGGTGATTTGGCGTTCATGTAAATAATAAAAATGGTCAATAAAATTAATGTTTAATCTGTAATCTTTGCTTCTCCAAACTCCCTGAGATTTGGGGGTGGAAGGACTATTCACAGACTCGGCCATTCAGACTGAGAGAGAAGCACATCTAAGCACACCACTCTCCGTGCTGCAGGCAGTGGGAGCTGAAACACAGGTCCTCGTGGCACTCTGGGGCTTTGCGGGTTTGCCGCCGGTGAAGGCTCCGCGTCCGGCAGCTGCACCCCACTCTGCGCATGTTGTGTGTGTTTCACCCCTTTCCGTGCATGGCAACAGCAGTCGGGGGTGGGTTCCTGCCCCTTCAGAGGCGCCAAGGCAGAGGCTGAGGCTGGCCCCCAACGGCCCCGTCAATTCCGGAGCAGAGGCCTCCCCTCCCCTCACAAGTCCTCAAAGGCAGCCTTGTGCTCCGCGATCCACTCCTCGAACGTTCTTGCCTGCGGGTTGAGCTTCCGGGTCAAGGCGACGTCCCGCTCAGGCTCCGTGCGGTAGAAACGGAACATGTCGGCCAGCTCCCGCGCCCCAGGGAAGCCCAACTGTTGGTAGGACTCCAGGGACATCTGTAACGAGAGAGACAGAAGCCTCACCCGCCAGCTGGGACTTGGAGCTGACCCCGCCGCATTGCCGGTAGCACTCATAAGAGGGGGGGGGGCAGATGTAAAAAAAATCAGCCCCCCCCCCCCCAGATCCCCCCCCCCCCCCGCATCCATGCAGTCCGAATCCCAGTCGGGAATAACCTGCTCCCAAGTTTCTCACGACCCCACCGTGTGCGGCGAAGCCCCTGCTGCAAGCAAGCTCTCCCTCTGCAGGGGCCTCTCCGGACGCTGAGCCTCGGGGGGTTTCCAAAGCCAGAGACGGTCAGAGGTGGTTGGCGGTTGCCTACCTCTGCAGAGCGGCCCTGGGCTTCCTGGGTGGCCTCCCAGCCTGCTTAGCTCCTGAGATTGGGCTGGCCTGGGCCGCCCGGGTCAGGGGAAGAATGTGAGAGCAGCCCCCCTCCCCCCCATGAGGCAGGTCTTGCGCAGCAGGCGGGGCAAGTGGGGAGGAGCGGTGGTGTTGGGGGCCACTCTTGCCAGGGCTTCTTGCCCAAGGGGCAGCGGAGCCGTGCTTGCAGTGTACCCATCCTATGCCGGAGGAGGAGGGGACCTTGGCCCGGCCAAAGGAAGGCGGGGAAACAGATTCCTCTCCGAGGGAGAGACCAGCAGTGGTTGGAGTGCGGGGCGAGGAGGATGTGGGGAAACCACGTTCCAAGTTCCGCTCTGCTGGGGAAGCCTGCCGGTGGACCTTGGGCCTGTCACACGCCCTCCCGGCCTCGCCTCCCTCCCAGGGCTGTTGTGAGGATCAAAGGGCGGAGAGGAGGAGGATGCCGGCAGCTGCTGTGGATCCCCACAGGGGGGGGGGGCGGCAGACAAAGGGTCACTCCTCTCTAAGGCTCCCTCTGAGCTGTGGAGTCTTTATGAGCAAAAATTCTGCTTTGTGAGCACCTGGCGTTAAAGTTGTGAGCGAGAGCGATTTGGCTGCTGAATAAATCGGCTTGCTCTGGAGCCACCTCCTTCCTGAGCCAAGACAGAAATGTGTGAGCCGGAGGCTACAAAAACTGAGCCAGCTCACACTGACTCAGCTTAGAGGGAACACTGCTCTCCTCTCCTCTGCAGCCAGCCAGAGAGGGGTCTGTCAGGTTTGCTTGTGAGGCAGAAGAGGACATCCAGTGGCCAATGTTCCCTCTAAGCTGTGGAGTCTTGTGAGCAAAAATTCTACTTTGTGAGCTCCTGGCATTAAAGTTGTGAGCGAACGATTTGGCTGCGGCATAAGTTAGTTTGCTCTGGAGCCCTCCTTCCTGAGCTAAGACACAAATGTGTGAGACAAAAGCTAAAAAACTGTGAGCTGGCTCACACTAACTCAGCTTAGAGGGAACACTGCCAGCAGCCCCTTTGAGAGAGCTGCAGGGAAGGCTAGTGGATCGTGGGCGTGGGGCCGTCGAGGAGCGTCACGGCCCTTCTGTGCACGAGGCACGGATTCAGCCTTCCCGGGACGGCCACCCGACGGGAGAGAACAGACTCCCCGAGATAGAAAAGGGCCGTTGGGAGAGGTCCGTGGGACACAGGGGCCCATTTAGGAAAAGGCCGCCGAAGGAGACGCAGGTTTGTCAGCCCTTCGGAGTGAGAAGCTGGGGGGTTTCTGGTGATCGGGATTCTCTGTTGTCGTCCTAGAATCAAGACGGAAGGGGTCTTGGAGACTCTGTGTGGAGAGGGGTGAAACATCCACTGGACGGTGGCTGGCTGGCAGCCCATTTTCTCCTCTTGCGTATTCCATAAACTACAGGGCGGTGAGACCAAAAAGCAAGGCAGGTTTAAAGTACTGCAATCATCGGAAGACTTGAGCATTCAGGCTTTGGGTGCCTTCTTGTACCCCCCCCCCCCTTTTTTTTTCACTCACACACACCCCACTTTACAACTGGCGTGGGCGTGAAGACCTCCCTCCCTCCCTGGCCTGCCCCTCCCCCCCGGGGTATTTCTTACCTTGGCATCCCTGACGGTCTTCCCGGTGTGCTCGGACATGAGCGCCGCGTACTCGGCCACCGTGAGCTTGCCCGTGCTCAGGCCGATGGTCTGGCCTCCGTACTTCTCGGGCTCCTTCATCAGCGCGGCCACAACGGGCCCCAGGTCAGCCACGGCCAGCCCGTCCAGCGGGACGTCTCCCAGGGGAAGGGCTGCACGAGAGAAGAAGCGGGTCTCTCCCACGGCCTGGCATTTCGGAGGGACGGATGCCAGCTGCAGCCAGGCGGGCATCGAAGAGTCCCGGCCGAGGCAGGATGGGGGCGGATGCCGTCAAGTGGAAGAAAGGGGCACACCGCTCTCGTCAGGGACCCGGCCGCTCGACTCTTTGGCTCCGCCCAGGAGTTAGGTGCAAATGCTCCCTCTAAGCTGTGGGGTCTTGTGAGCAAAAGTTCTGCTTTATGAGCTACGGGCATTAAAAGTTGTGAGCGAGCGATTTGGCTGTTGCATAAATCAGTTTGCTCTGGAGCCACATTCTTCCTGAGCGGAGACAAAAACGAGTGAACCAGAGCCTTAAAAACTTTGCGCTAACTCAGCTGGCTGAGCGGCCTGACCTTCTGCACTGCAAGACCAGGCCTCTGGGGAGGCTGCAGCAGGCTCACTACTAGGCAGTCAGAGGGGCAAGGAAGCCGGAACTCTGGCTAAGCTGGAGGAGGGAGAGCCTGAGGGACGCTTTACCCAGTTCCCAGCCGTCTCCATCGGGGGCCCGCTGAGGCCGGAAGACGGTTAGGAAGTTCTCAAAATAGGAGGGCATCCGGATGCAGGTCGTGGGCACACCGCAGGCCCGGAAATACTCTTCCACCCGGCCTTTGCCGTCAAAGTGCGGCACTGCCAGCCGCCCGCCCGTCAGCCGCTTCACGTTCTCCAGGCCGCTGTACACCACGTAGCTCAAGGCCAGCTGCTGGGCCACGTCGGCCACACGCTTGCCCTGCCGAGAGAGAGAGAGAGCGCAGGTGTTGGTCTCAGTCCCAGCCGGGGAGCCCAGCGACTGCACTGCCGGGAGGAGACAAGCAAACAGCCGGAGGAGGAGAGCGCCGAGACTTTGTTATGCCAGGCAGCAGCCCAACAGATTCGCTTCAAGGTGCTGGTTCTGACCTTTAAAGCCCTATATGGTCGGGGGCCTGCCTACCCGAGGGACCGCCTTTCCCCACATGTCCCCCAGAGAGCACTGAGGTCAGGGTCGCAAAATCACCCCCTGGCCCGAAAGATGCCAGGTTGGCCATCATGAGGGCCAGGGCCTTTTCAGTGGTGGCTCCACACTGGTGGAACGACCTCCCAGAGGACATCAGGGCCCTGCGGGACCTTCTACAGTTCCGCAGGGCCTGCAAGACGGAGCTCTTCCGCCAGGCCTTCGATTAGGAGCCGCCACTGATGAATGAGATATTGGAAACTGAACATACTACGGCCCTTATGGTTCGTCGTTGGATATTGCCTTTCTCCATCGGACCATGTACAGTAACCGCCGCTATCAGTATTATTAGCACTTTATGTAAATTGTTTTTTTATGTGGATTTTATTTATTTGTTTGTTTTTGGATTTACATCCCGCCCTCCTCAAAGGCTCAGGGCGGCTAACAGCGAGGCACAAGCGCTAAAGTTAAAACAGATAAAAACAGCATAAAACAATATAATACAAACAAGAAAGTGTCAGGGCTCCATTGGTCACAAGATGGGGTAGATGATCTTAATCCAACGGCAACGTTCCAATAGCCTCTCATCCCTTCTCCTCCTCCTCGTTGTATTTATTGTTTTGTCGCATTTTAACGTGTGCGCTGCCTTGAGCCAGTCTGCCCCGGCATAGGCGGGATATAAATGGAAAGTAAGAAATAAATAAGTGTGGCAAGGCCGCTTCCGGCCAAGGGTTCTCCAACGTTCTCCAACTTCACGGCACTCCGCCCCCCGGAACGTCCCCTCCGCTGAGCCCGGCAGGCCCCTTCCCTCCGGCCCTGCGTTTGCCCACCTCGCTCTGCCCCGGTGGCTTCCCCAGGCACACCCCGCAGAGGCTAGCTGGAGAGCGGCGGGCCCCCCTCCCCGCTTGCTCCTGCTCCCACCTGGGCCACCTCCCGCTCTTCACTGAGGTGCTCCCAGAAGTCCGTCACGAGGAAGGCTGCGTGTGCCCCCCGCAGGGCCGCCTCCAGGCTCCGGGCGTCCTCCAGGTCGGCCTTCACCACTTCCGCTCCCAGCTTCTTCAGCTCCCGGGCCGCCTTCTGCTGCGGCTTGCGGGTGACCCCGCGCACCAGGAAGGTGGCCTCCGCCATCAGCGCCCTGGCCACCGCGCCGCCCTGGGCTCCTGCAGGAGTGCACGCGTGAGTCGCCGCCACCGCCGCCTGGGGGGGCGGCAGGCAAGCTCCTAGGCAGGTGTGCCCTCCCGCCCAAGGGCGCACAGAGAGGCACTCTACTTTCCCAGGGCCGCCTACCTGTTGCCCCAAACACCACGATAACCTTTTTGTCTGCCATCTACAGGGACTGGAAAAGCAGCCGCTGCCCTGGAAGAAAGGGAGGCAGAAAGATGCTGAACGGGTCGTCGCTGGCATGATCACAAACCTGCTTGCTTCAAATCACGAACTTTCATTCAGCCGGGAGTAATCACTTCTCCTCCACACCCCTCCCCACACTTGTCCCCCTTCTCCGGATGTGGATCGATCCCGGCTTTATGCAGACCCAGGCAGAGAAATGGAGGGTCGAGGGAAACCAGCGGCTGCAGGAAGGCGGAACACAGCCTTCAAGTAGGACCAGCCGAAAGACTCCGATTCTGAGTTCTCCAGAGCTCTTTTTTGGGCTGGACGCTTCAAACAGAAGTTGGCCTTCCCCCAAACAAGCAGTGAGGTGGTTTTCTGGGGGGAAATTAACGCAAGGCATTTTGGATACCTGCAAGCAATGCTCCCTCTAAGCTGTGGAGCAAAAATCCTGCTTTGTGAGCTGCTCCTGGCATTCAAGTTGTGAGTGAGCGACTTGGCTATACTGCATGAATCAGTTTGCTCTGGAGCCCCCTCCTTCCCGGGCTAAGACAAAAATGGGTGAGCTAGCTCACACTCTCTCAGCTTAGAGGGAACACTGCCTGCAAGAGCTCAGCATTGGGGGCGGGGAGCCTCAGTCCTGAGTGTGCAAGGGGGGGGGGGCAGGCACACAGCGTCAGACTAAGATATCTGGGAAGCCCAACTTCAAACCCACACCAGGCCGGTTCAGACGTGACGCGATTCGAGGCCCGGCTACAATGCACCCCGCAGCAACTGAACCCGGGTCTCCGGCTCCGCATCGCCTCCTGAGGAGGCTGACGCCGAGCAGCCCGGCCGGCCGGAGCCCAGGAGCCGCGTCTGCACGGATGGAGGGGGAGGGCAAGAAGCGCTCTGTCCCTGCAGAAGCCCCCAGGCGGTGGAGGCACCCCTCCTCGTGCGGCCCCTCCAGGGCTCGCCTCAGTTTCCCTTCCAGGCTACCTGCCGGTTGAACGCACTCAGGTGCACGGGGTGCGGGCGCCACGTGGGAATGCCCGCCGCAGGGTCCGTGCACGAAGCTTGCGGGGCTCTCCTCTTGCAAGGCGGGGCCTCCTCTTGGGCCACCACCAGAGGGCGCTCCTCCGCCTGCCCGGGGATTGCTGGAGAGCGCAGGCGCGGCCCCCTTCCCGATCCCCGGCCTTCCCAAGAGGTGGCGCTCCTCTTTCCCGGGAAGGCGCCGAGAGCGCACGCGCGCCTGTCCCGCCGCGCCACTCTAGCGCCTCCAGGCGGCGCTCCTGCAGCCTTCGGGCCGCGACTGCCGAAGAGCGCAGGCGCGGCTCTCTCTGCAGCTCCACGCTGCGTCCAATAGATGGCGCTCCTCTTAATAAACTTTAATAGCTTTAAACTGGAAATCTACTAAAATTCCCACTCTGGGCCAATGGACGGAGGGCTAAAGTATGGGATATAATTGTATCTGATAAAATAACTATGCAATTACTCGCATATGATAATCCTAATTATGTAAACAACTTTATGGGAAAATGGTTTGTTTTCTTTGAATGCCTGCATGCCAACCCCACTTATATAGATGGCCATATTATATTATATTATATTATATCAGATTGATATTTTAAAGCCTTCGACAGCATATTGATATTTTATTGTTAAGAGTAATACAGACTTGACTTTGTTATGTTATAGGTTTTTTTAGTACTGATGTTAAATGTTAACTATGTTAAATTTTTGTTGAAAAGCCAATAAAAATGTTAATTAAAAAAAAAATAGACGGCGCTCCTCCCTCCCTCCCTCCCTCGAGGCCGCCAGCGACCTCCGAAGGGCGCAGGCGCGACTCCCGTCGCAGCTTCAATCCTCCGCCGCCAGAGGTCTCCCTTCCCGCGGCAGGGCCGGAGGGCGGGGCCGAGCGTGACGTCACACGCGCCCGCCCCCTCCTCGATGCCTATTCAACGCGCGGCGTCGGCGGTGACGTCACAGAGGCGGGTGGGCGGGGCTTATGCGGCGGCGCGCGTCTCTGGCGGCCAGTCGGGTCTGGCCGAAGAAGTGACCGGAAGTGCCGCCGCGGCCCCCCCCAGGAGACGCGGAAGTGGACGGCGGACGCGGCAGGTGCGGGCCCCCCCGAGCATGTGCAGAGTGCCCTGGCGTCCCGCTGGGCCGGGGCTGGGGTGGGGGGAGAAGGTAGACTGCTGCTGCGGCTGGAGGCTCCATCCCTGGCCTGGCTGCGAGGGGGGCGGCTGCCCCACAGCCCTGCGAGGTAGGCCGGCGGCCCTGCAGGCCCTCCTTCTCGGGAGGAGGAGCCGTGGCCGGCCGCAGACGGGCATTGGCGGGGCTAGGGCTGCATCCAGCAGCGGGCAGCGCCCTCCCGGCCGGTTGGCAACGGCAGTGGGTTCCCTCCTCCTCCCCCCCCTCCCCCCGCAGGAGGCGCGTGACAGCCCCGCATGGTCCCCGCGGGCATCACCAGCGCCTGGCCACACAAGGGGACTCTGTCCTCTCTCTCTCTCTGCCGCCTCCGACGCGGGGGGTTTCCAACTGGGCTGCCTGGACCCGGGCCAGGGGGCGGTGGGGTCAGCCGTTGCCACCCGGGCATCGCCCTGGCCTGGCCCTGCTTGGGAGGAGTCTGCCCTCTGCGGTGGCAAAGGAGCCCAGCAAGCCCTGGGACCCTGGCGTGGTTCCCCCCCCCCGCATCGTCGCCAGAGTGGGCACCTTGCCCGGCCCTGGGGGAGAGAGGCGTGGCGTTCTTGTCTGGTGGCCGTGGATGCTTCACGGGCTTTGCCCGGGTAGGGTCTCTCACCTGCGTGAGGCTCCGTGCTTGCTCCGGTTGCCGAGGGCCCCCCGGAAAGCCAGCCTTCGTGCCGCTTTGGGGTCCCCCTGCGCTTCCTCTGACAGCTTAGAATCATAGAATGGGACCTTGCAGGTCATCTAGTCCAACCCCCCCTGCAACTCTGCAGAAGCACAGCCGAAGGAGAGCCCCACAACATACCAAAAAGATGCTCTTTCTGCTTGAAAACGTCCAGCGAAGGAGCATCCACCACCTCCCGAGGCAGACTGTTCCACTGCTCAACCACTCTGACAGTCAGGAAGTTCCTCCTGATATTTAGCCGGCAATGACTCCCTTGTAATTCCCACCCATTAGATCTAGTCTTGCAATCGGGAGCAAGAGAGGATAGATCTGCTTCATCTTCTATATGACAACACTTCAGATACTTGAAGACTGCAATCAGTCTTCTGCAATTAAGCGTGATTAATATATGGAATTCACTGCCACAGGAAGTGGTGGCGGCTACAAGCCTGGACGGCTTCAAGAGGGAATTAGATAAGCATATGGAGCAGAGGTCCATCAGTGGCTATTAGCCACAAGGTAGAGATAGGGACTCGGTCTGTCTTCTTGGTGCTTGGGGGGGTGTCAACAGTGGGAGAGCTTCTAGTGTCCTGGCCCCACTGCTGGACCTCCTGATGGCACCTGGTATTTTTGGCCACCGAGTGACAGAGTGCTGGACTGGATGGGCCACTGGCCTGATCCAACATGGGCTTGTCTCTTATGATCTCATGTCCCTTCTAAGCCTTCTCTTTCCCAGGCTAAACAGACCCTTCAGCCTTTCCTTTCTTGTCGTCACCGTGTTGTTGTTCCGAGGCGGCAGCAGAGGTAAACAAACCAGGTGCCCCAAGCTCGGCCTCTGCGTGGCTGACCTGTGGTCTCTTTCCTGCTCCAGACAGGAGAAGAGGTGGAGCGAGACCTCCAGGGGACCAGGCTGAGAGCACGATGCCCTCCGAAGCGACAGAAGGGCTGGAAGAGCCCGAGAACCTCTCCTATGAGGATCTGGAAGAAGACGACAATGTCAGGTGAGCCCCCTCGTGCTGGGGGGGGAGGGCATTCGATAGGGTGCCTTGGAAGGAGATGCCAACGTTTGGGCCGGTATTGCTAGTCAAGACACCAGCACGAATCTAGGTGAGCGAAATGCTCAAATCAGGGTATGTGGTCTGAGAAAGGTTGGGGGCTTCTGCCCTGACCGTGGTAAACATTAAAAACAGCATCTCTCACCAGGCCGGAGGGAACCCTCCTTTGTCAAGCAGGCTGTTCAGGGACTGGATCTGTCCCACAGCAGGATTCTCACCCAGGCCTTAAGTTAGGGTGGGCACAAACCCCTCTACAAGGCTGTTGTTAAGCGAAGGGCTCTGCTGCCCCGGAAGGTGGGACACAATGAGGGATACTGAGATCCAGAGCGTTCGTCCTCCTGTTGCAAGCTGTGGCCGTCCTGGTCTTCTGGGGAAGGCAGACCAGGAAGCTGGTCCAGGCCTGGCTGTGCTCTTGTGGGGCTGCTTAACTCCTTAATTAGCAAGGAGGCTTAATTGGCACTCTGGCCCTTTCAGGCACTGCCCACTACAGCATCTTTCAGGAATCCAAAGCCCCACCACCCCCAAATTATGCCAAGAAACAAAGTCCTGTCATGTCAGGAAACAATCACGCAGAATTCAGAACTCCCCCCCAACGTGTGCAATCCGACATATGTGCACCTGGGAGGTTTTGGTGTTCTGGACAAATCTTGGTGGAAAGCTGGCCTGGTATTAGTCTGGAGCACTTGGTGGAAAGCTGGCCCGGTATCTGAAGAAGGGAGCCCCGTGACTCTCAAAAGCTCCTCCCCTGCCACAAATGTTGTTAGTCTTCTGGACTCTGGCTCTTTCCTGCTGCTGCAGACAGGCTTAAGACGGCCACCCATCTTGTTATTAGTCTGTTCTGGATTACTGTATTTAATGGGAAACCCGTTGCTGGGGAAAACCAATACTAAATAGCTGACAAAGCTGACGTGTATACAAGTCTTGCTTTTGAAAGTGTGCTTACATCCAGCTGTGTGTATCATCCTTGCAAATGGTCAGGATCAACCCCTGTAGAGAGCTCGCTGGTAGCACGAAGTTGTCTCGTGCGTCATAGCTGCGGAAGGTCTAAAGCCGGGGTGGCCAGGCTGTGGCTCTTTCACACATACTGTGCGGCTCCCGGTAGGGCGGCTGGGGAAGCGAAGGGGAGGCAGACTTTTTCTCCCTCCCTTCCCCCTCCTTCCCTTCCATCTACTCGCTTTCTTTGTTTCTCTCTCTCCAACTCTTTCATTCTTTCTTTCCATCTCTCTTTTTCTCTCTCTCTTAGACAAATCAATATCATTATCAATATCTGTTTTTACCCCTTTTGTTTTTATTTTGGCAGCCTCATTTAATCTGTAATAAAAAGCAAATTTTGCATTTTTTAAAAATAAAAATGTGTGTGTCACAGTTGTTCCTGTCTAGCAGCTCTCAGACATCTGACGTTTATTCTGTGTGTCTCCTACGCTGAGCAGGCTTGGCCAGCCCCGGTCTGAAGGAACTGTTGGGTTCCGGGGCATTTTGTCCCATCGGCACGAACAGGCCGGATCGAGCGGCTTCTCCTACGCGGCCCCTTGATGCCAGCTCCCCCCACCCCCCACCCGGCCACTCACGCCCCTTCCTCTCCCCACAGCCCCACGGACCTGTCCGAGCTGCTGAAGGAAGGGACCAAAGAGTCGCACGACCAGGCCGAGAACACTCAGTTCGTCAAGGACTTCCTGAAAGGGAAGATCAAGAGGGAGCTTTTCAAGGTGCGTCCTGCTCCGTCCTCCCGGTCCTTTGGAGGGCCTGTGTCGATCAGGGGCTTGCAGCCTTTTGTAGTTAAAGAGAGTGGAAATTTGGAGAGCTTTCTGCAGCCCAAAACATTGGTCACGGGGGTGTGCGTGTGTGTGTGGAGAGGCCTTTATCAGGAAGCAGCCATCCTCTGGTTCTCACAATAAGTAATAAAGATACACCGGCCGTGACTGTGTTAGTGTCCTCCTGGCATAAAATTGCACATGGTTGGCGTTTGTGATTACTGACAAGACTGTTCACCTCTGTCCCCTTTCTGTAAAGCCTCACCAAGAAGTCCTCTTAGTCCCATTAAAAAACCCACCCAAGCCTGCCGTTCCCTTTATGCACAAAACAGAAACATCCGGGAGGACATTTGTGTAAAGGGATCTGAATTGCAGCATGGTGGGGACAATCCAGGAGGGCGCTTTGATAGCAGAAACGGGACTGTAGCCTATTAAGCATACATGAAGCTGCCTTGTGCTGCCAACTCAGAGTTAGTTTTGTTTACTCAAACGAGCAGTGCCTCTCCAGTGGCTTCCCCATCACCTCCCGCCTGGTCCTTTTTAACTGGAGGTGCCAGGGACTGAACCTGGGACCTCCTGCATGCCAAGCAGAGGCTCTGCCCCTGAGCCACGGCCCCTCTTGATAGCTCTCCGGGGTCTCAGGCGGAGGTCTTCCCCATCCCCTCCTGCCTGGTCCTTTTTAACTGGAGGTGCCAGGGACTGAACCTGGGACCTCCTGCATGCCAAGCAGAGGCTCTGCCACTGAGCCACAGCCCCTCCTGACAGCTCTCCAGGGTCTCAGGCTGAGGGGTCTCTCCTATCACCTCCTGCCTGGTCCTTTTTAACCGGAGATGCCGCTGGGGACTGAACCTTCTGTGTGCCAAGCAGAGGCTCTGCCACTGAGCCACAGCCCCTCTCTACAGCTCTCTAGGGTCTCAGGCGCAGATTTTTCCCATCACCTCCTGCCTGGTCCCTTTTTAACTGGAGATGCTGCTGGGGAGTGAACCTGGGACCTTCTGCATGCCAAGCAGAGGCTCTGCCACTGAGCCACGGCCCCTCTTTGCAGCCCTCCAGGGTCTCAGGCGCAGATCTTTCCCATCACCTCCTGCCTGGTCCCTTTTTAACTGGAGGTGCTGCCGGGGACTGAACCTGGGACCTTCTGCATGCCAAGCAGAGGCTCTTCCACTGAGCCACGGCCCCTCTTTACAGCTCTCCAGGGTCTCAGGCGGAGGTCTTTCCCATCACCTCCTGCCTGGTCCCTTTTTAACTGGAGATGCTGCTGGGGAGTGAACCTGGGACCTTCTGCATGTCAAGCAGAGGCTCTTCCACTGAGCCACGGCCCCTCTTTACAGCTCTCCAGGGTCTCAGGCGGAGGTCTTTCCCATCACCTTCTGCCTGGTCCTTTTTAACTAGAGATGCTGGGGATTGAACCTGGGACCTTCTGCATGCCAAGCCCCTGAGCCACAGCCCCTCTTGACTGCTCTCCAGGGTCTCAGGCGGAGGTCCATCACTGGCCTGGTCCTTTTTAACTGGAGATGCTGGCGGGGAGTGAACCTGGGACCTCCTGCATGCCAAGCAGAGGCTCTGCCACTGAGCCACAGCCCCTCTCTTTGCAGCAAATGTTGTATCTACCGTGTCTTGTTTCTCCCGCACTGTCTTGTACCTGTTTGCAGTTTGTTCTCGGCCTTGTTCATGGTTAACGCTGTGCCTGGGAGGGAGTTTCCAGCTTGTGTTGTTTCCTAATTTCGTTACTCTTGTCCCGTTTACTGAACTCCTTATCCCACCTGATTGAATTGCTTTCTGAATATTGTAATCTGCCTTGAGTCTGGGTGACAAATGAAGTAACCAAATGCCTTTAATCTGTGAGAGCCGGGCTTGATTCCCCACTCCTCCTCTACCCATATGTTCCCCAACGAGCACTACGGTCCTGGACTAAACATCTCCTGGTGGTTCCAGGTCCCAAGGAGGCCAGACTAGCGGTGACCAGGGCCAGGGCTTTTTCGGTGGCGGCTCCTACCTGGTGGAATGAGCTCCCAGAGGAGATCTGGCCCCTGCGGGACCTTGCACAGTTCCGCAGGGCCTGCAAGGCGGAGCTCTTCCGCCAGGTGTTTGAGTAGGAGCCGCCACGACTGTTACCATCTGTCTACGACTATTACTATCTGTCCTAGCCCTTATTACCAACTCGTCGTGAGCGCTAAAATGGTGGTACTGCGTGGAGCTGTGGCCGCTAAGGATACCATCCTGATGACGTCATCTGTTCCCTTGTTAGATATTGTGGAGAGCACATATGTTGTATTGAATGTTTTTAAAATGCAGTTTTAATATTTTGTGTATTGGGCATTGGCCCCATCTGTATGCCGCCCTGAGCCCGTTCGCGGGGAGGGTGGGTTATAAAGTTAAATAAATAAATACGTGCAGCTGCTGGTGTGACCTTGGGTCAGTCACAAGTTCTCTCAGAGCTGTTCGCTCAAGGGCAGTCCTTGAGAGAGCTCTCTCATTCTTCTGGGGAGGGAAAGGAGACTGTGAGCTGCTCTGAGACTCCTCCAGGTAGTGAAGGGCCATGGGGTAGAAGTCCAATCTCTTCTTCTTCTTCCTCTGAGCACCCCACCCTGGAGGAGTCGTTGGCAAGGCGGGTGGTGGTGGTGCACGGGTGGGGGCACAGGCGGAGCCCCCCCCCCCATGGCATTTCTGCTTCCTTGCAGTTGGGGACGGTGGCTCTCTACTACACGTACTCCGCTCTGGAGGAGGAGATGGAGCGGAACAAGGACCACCCGGCGTTCGCGCCCCTCTACTTCCCGCTCGAGCTGCACCGGAAGGAGTCCCTGGAGAAGGACCTGGAGTACTTCTACGGGGAAGGCTGGCCGGGCAAGATCCAGTGCTCGGAGGTGGCCCAGCGCTACGTGGACCGGATCCACCACGTCGGGCAGCACGAGCCGGAGCTCCTGGTGGCCCACGCCTACACCCGCTACATGGGGGACCTCTCTGGGGGGCAGGTGCTGAAGAAGGTGGCCCAGCGGTCCTTGAAGCTGCCCGCCACCGGCGAAGGGGTCCAGTTCTACGTCTTCGCGCACATCTCCAGCCCCCAGCAGTTCAAGCAGTTCTACCGCGCCCGGCTGAACGCCCTGGACCTGGACGCGGGGACCAAGGAGCGGATCGTCCAGGAGGCCAACAAGGCCTTTGAGTTCAACATGCAGGTACCGGGGGGGGGGCGCCCGAGCGTGTGCACACGCAACTCTTCCCTGCAGCGAGACCCCTGCCTCTGTTGGGGCGGCGCCTGGGCCTTTCTGGGGGCAAGAGGGGTTGCTGGGGACTGGGGGAGGGGAGTCGGCTTATAGGGCCTGGGCCAGCTTTCCCCCGCAGAAGTTCCGGCTTGATTTGTTTGGGCGGGCGGGGCCCCTCCCGGCCTTCTACTGCAAGCTGGATCCGTGATAAATCATTCCTCCCACACTTTTCTCGCCGTCCACAGCGGTCGCAGAGTAGGATGGGAACCCGTAGGCCACGGAAGTGCAAGCCTACTGACGGGGGTGGTGGGGGGTGGTGTTTGAAACAAGTCCACCCTCCGCCTCTCCTTTGCCCGCCTTGGCTGACTCACAGGGCACCTACGACTAGGGCTGCTGCTGCTCTCGGCTCCCGTGCAAGTTTCTGTTCCATTTAACTTCTTTGGGAAATTCTAGTTCTTTTGCTTTAAAAGGAGCTACACGGGCAGCGCCTCGGGGCCGGGCAGGCTCCTCTGGTGGTCCCTGGTTTCCGAGAAGTCTTGCTGCAGCAGCATCCCCCCCCCCCTCGAAATACCCCTGCCTGGCTCCCCCAGACTCGCCGGCTGCTGGTGGCTGGCCCCCATCTGGGCCGGAAGCCGAGGAAGGAGGAAGACGTCACGGGTGCTCACGGCCGAGGCTCCCTCTAAGCGACGGAGCCTCGTGAGCAAGAATCCTACTTTGTGAGCTACTACTGGCATTGGAGTTGTGAGTGAGCAATTTGGGTATACTGCATAGATCAGTTTGCTCTGGAGCCCCATCCTCCCTGAGTGGAGACCAAAAGGTGTGAGCCGGAGGCTAGAAAACTGCAGGCTAGCTCACACTAACTCATCTCAGAGGGAACACTGGTCTCTTCCTCGTCTCCTCCTGCCGCTCGGCAAATCCCAGCGTCCAGCTGACCAGCGGGGCAAAGGGAGCCCGGAGGGGATGCCGCCGCCGCTGGTGGTGAGCGAGCAGTTTGGCTCCCGCATAAATAATTTTGCTCTGGGGCCACATCCTTCCAGAGCCGAGACAAAAAAAAGTGTGAACCGGAGGCTAAAAAAAATCTGAGCTTGCTCGCACTGACCCAGCTGAGAGGGAACACGGCTCACAGCCCCTCTTGGCCTCCCACAGGTCTTCGATGAGCTGGACAAGATCGGGGCCCTGCTGCCGGAGGAAGTCCAAGACGGCGGCCTCCCCCTGCACGACGGGAGAGGGGACCCACGCCAGTGCCCCTACTACGCCGCCAAGCTCGGTAGGTGTCCCCCTTCCAAGGCCCCCCGGTCGGCTCGCGGCCCCCTTCCCCTGGCTAACGGGGCCTCCCCCCTTTTCTCTCCCTCCTCCCTGCAGGCGGCAGCGGGGCCTCCGGGTGCCCCTTCCACCTCGCCCTGGCCATGCTGAAGCAGCCTCCCGTCCAGCTGGCTGTGGCCGCCTGCCTGGCCGTCATGGCCGGGGTGGCCGCCTGGTACGTGATGTGAGGCGCCCGCGAAAGAGGACCTCTGTGCTCACCGGGCAGGACTGCGCCTCCTTCCCTCCTTCCTCCCTTCCTTCCCTCCCTCCCACGGGGACTATTAAGGGACTATTAAAAACCCAATGCACCACAAAGCGAGCACCTGACTCTTGCGTCTGAGGGAGGGACCCCTGAACGGTTAGCTAGCCACGGCGGCCCCCCAATCCCTCCCCTCCGGGGGGCTGCTGTGTTTCCATTGCCGAAGCCGCTCCTCATGCTGGGGAGAGCCGCTCACTCACTCATCACTGGACCTTTTGGTTTGGTCTGCCTCAGCTGTCTGCTGGGGGGACGACACGGGGAGGCAGCCCCCCCCATCCCTGTCCCCGCCTCACGCCTCCCCTTGGCCGTCCTGAGTAGCTTCGGGGGGGGGGGGACTGACGTGGCAGGTGTACATAGGGGAGAGAACCGAACCACTTAGTGGTCCTGTAACGTATGGATTGTGACGGGGCCTCTGCGTAATAAAATTTATTATCTGCTGTCTTCAGAATTGTTTCCTGACTGGGGGGGGGGGCAGGGAGGCGACGCAAGCCATCCAGGTTGTAACAAGCGCTCGTCTGGCTGTTGCCCCGGGCAGTCTTGTGGCCCATGTGCTGGAGGGGGAAAAACCAGGGTTTGTCCCGAAGATGGGGCAGGCGGACGATGCGGGTCGTGTGGGGACAGGCCCGGCTGGAGCAAATGGGGCTGCCACTGCCTGGCCCTCGGGGACTTAGCCTCTGGACGGGAAGCCAGCCCGGTACACAGAGCAACATGGCAGGGGGTCGGAGCCTGCCTCCCCGAAGGAGGGGGTCAGATGGAGGCTGGAAGAAGCTACCCCTCCCTGCGTCAGCGGCTGTAACTGTGGTGAAGTGTGTAAGGGCCTCATGCTGTATCCCAGCAGCCAAGCCAAACCACTCCCCCTCCAGCGAAAGGCCACTGGCTTTCCTTCCCACCCCCCTCGGACTTCCTGCTTCAAGTAGCCCAGATGAGCTCCTCTCCCTGGGCAAAGTCCACCAGTGGCTCTTAGCCACAAGGGATAGAGGGAACACTCTGTCTGGGGCAGCGATGCTTGGGGGGGGGGCTCCACAGTGGGAGGGCTTCTGGAGTTCTGGCCCCACCAGTGGACCTCCTGAGGGCCCCTGGCTTTTGACCCCTGTGTGACACAGAGTGCTGGACTGGAGGGGCCACTGGCCTGATCCAACATGGCTTCTTACCATTTCAATGAGGACACCCTTCCTTCACCTCCTCCATTTCTTGATTAGAAATGGTTCCTCTCGCAAGGATTATAAGAGGGCTCCAGAACTAAGCCTGCAATACAAAGGGATACCTGTAATTGCCCCCAGGAGCAGATGAGAAGGGGCTGTCCCCTTAATCTATGAGCCTTAAGTGTGTAGTGATCAATGTATTCCCCTACCGAGGCAGACACAGACAGAAGGCCAGAAGGCACTTGGCCTTTCTTCTACAAACTGGACCATTCTGTATTTTGACCTCATCAAGGTGGAATGAATTCCTGGACCCTTGTGCTTTGTACGGTTTTCCTCTACGACTTCGCTCCAAACGAATACCAAGTCATATGCTTGCACATCACTCTTACCACGCTGAGTTTGGTATTAGGTTTCAAAGGTTCTTTAAGAGTTCTCAGGTCCAGAAATTAGTACACGTGAGCCCCTGACCCGTGAATCCAGATCTGTGCAGAATTGAAGCCAAACAGGAAAGAGGGAGAGCTGAACGTGCATTCGACTCTCTGAGGCTGAGTTTTTTGGCTTCCCGCGTTCACCCTCTCCGAAGGAAGGCCAAGACTTTACACAATGACATATCGGCAGGTCCCAATGATGGCCATGGAAATTCCAGAGCAACAGCTGAATTCTGAAAGTTCAGTCACAACAGGGCAGGCAAGCGGCTTAGAGGCCAAGCAAGCGGCTTAGAGGCCAAGCAGTCGGCACAGACTCTGAAGGAGACCTCCGTGGCTCTAGAGCAACAGCTCAGTCCCGAAAGCACAGCCATAACTGAGCACAAAAACAACCCACGGGCCGAAGACTTGACGCAGGCGCCGAAGGAGACTCACAGAGGATTTTTCGTATTGTGAAAAAAAGACGCGGGCATTTCGAAATTACACATCTGTGGAAATGTCACCGGAATTAGAACCTGAGGAGAGGGCCAGGACGAATATCGCTAGTGACCCAACGGTTTAGCAGAAAGTCCGGCAGGGTTGTTCCATTGTGGGAGTTGCTATTAGATGTCCGGGTACATGGAGGCAAAACTGGAATGCGAAGGCAGAGACTCCCGCCTGGCTTGTCATAAATCCACCAAGAGGAAAATCAGCCCCGGAGGTCGCTTTATCTGTGGGCTGCCCTGTTAGATTCCAGCGGCACCGGAAGTGGGTGCTCGGGGACAGGCCACAGCGCTGTGTGTTCAGAGGACTGGGGAGAAGGTCAGTCAGACCACTGGTACGGCCGTGGCCGCCTTGGAGGGGGGAGTCCTGTTCGCTCACCTGGATTTGAGAGCAGGGGCTGAAGGTGAGGGGAAAGGAGAGCCTGCATTCTGCATGAATCCCACGCCATAAAGAGAGCTCCGTGGTTAGTGAGGTTGGGTCTCCGTTGCCCCCACACAAACTTGGGAACTGCCGTGATGCATCTTCAGCGTCAGTCCATTCCCCACGAGAACCTTCCCTGCGGCCTGGCCCACCTTCCTCTCCCCCCTCCCTGATCTGAACCGCCTGGCTTCCTAAATGTAAAATCAAATTATAACCCGAGGCTTTTGCGTGGCTCCTGGCCTGTTAAGATTTCCTTCCTTCCAGTGGTTTCCAGCTTAATCTTGTAATCCCCATTGTTATTTAATTAATCTTACTGTTCATGGCGTTTCTAGTCCTGTTGTGAAATCATGCGCTAAACTACTAAAATAAATATATATTGGGGGGGGGGGGGAGAGACAGGGCAGCTGAGGCGCAGTGTGACTTGCAGATTGCTGGATCCAGACAAGCATTGCCGTTGCATCCTATACAACCACCCCGATGAAGACACAGCCCTAGAGTTTGCCTGAACGGCTGTCTTCATTTCACATTAATCACTGTTGCCCCCTCCCATATAAATCACACCAAGGAGGCCCCGTTTCCATAAAAAGACGTGCGTCTGCTTTCTATTGTTCTGACCCATTCTGACATACCTGTTCAGGAACCCGGCATATCCCTGCTGTGAGAAACAAGACTTATTTGCTTTCTGGGACAGCAAAGTCATTCTATGCCTGCCCGAAACTAATTTTGTAACTTTTGATGACTGTAAGAAGCCCCCGAAGATGGTCTCTTCAACCAGGTTAGTTCCCTGGGCATCCAAAAGCAGTTGTGCGTTTAACCCCTTCCTCTAATGGCTTTAAGGGTTTCTTTCGGAGGGCTTGCACTGATTATCGATATTTTACCTCCGTCCGCTGGATGGAAACCTGTCTGGCTTTTGTATGGACGGGGTAAGGATTTTGCAACCCGGGTTAAATTTTCCACAAGCGCTCTTAATGTTACTGGTATGTTTTCGACGTACACAATACACGTAGGCTGCCTTGGTACAGAAACTGGCAAGGCAGGATATCAGTGCTTAAATAAATAGCTTTTAATGTTGGGGGAGGGGAAGGTTCCTCCCCATAGTGAACCAGTAGCTGGCTGGTGAACGTTTGCTGGCCTTCAAAATGTTTCCAGGGAAACTGAGGTGGTGGTGGTGATGGGGGAGACCCTCTGCCAATACTGGCAGGAGAAGCTCTTGTGGCCTGAAGGACACATTAAATGAACTGGGAAAGGGAAAACCTGGAGCTTTTGAGACTTCCCAAAGGCATCTGGGGGGCAAGGAAGAGGTGGAGATGCATCCGGGGAAGAGAGCTGACCTTCTGGGGCACGGGCTTGGCTTCAGGAACGGTTGCCCACGTGAGCAGCTGACTGGCCTGTCTGAATCATAGAATGGTAGAGTTGGAAGGGACCTTGCAGGTCATCTAGTCCAACCCCCTGCACTCTGCAGGAGCATAGCCGAAGGATGGTCGTCCAGCCTCCGCTTGGAAATGTCCAGCGAAGGAGCATCCACCACCTCCCGAGGCAGACTGTTCCACTGCTCAACCACTCTTGACAGTTGGGAAGTTTCTCCTGATATTTAGCCGGTAACGACTCCCTTGTCATTTCCACCCATTAGATCTAGTCTTGCAATCCGGAGCAAGAGAGAACAGATCTGCTCCATCTTCTACATGACAGCCCTTCAGATACTTGAAGACTGCAGTCATGTCCCCTCTAAGCCTTCTCTTTCCCAGGCTAAACAGACCCAACTCTTTCAGCCTTTCCTCCTAAGACTTGGATTCCAACCCTCTCACCGTCCTGGTTGCCCCCTTCTGGACACGCTCGAGCTTGTCAACGTCCTTCCTCAAATGGGGTGCCCAGAACTGGACACAGGACTCCAGGTGAGGCCTGACCACAGCAGAACAGAGCGGAACGACCACCTCCCGTGGTCTGGACACAATGCTTCTGTTGATGCATCCTAAGATTGCATTCGCTTTCTTTGCAGCCACATCACACTGCAGGCTCATGTTTAGCTTGTGATCCACCAGAACACCCAGATCCCTTTCACATCTGCTGCTGTCAAGGCAAGTCCCTCCCATCCGATATCTGTGCCTTTGATTTTTTCTACCTAAGAATGCTGCCTCTCTGCCGCCGCCCCCCTCCTGGCCCAGGAAAGGGGATAGTGGGGGAGGGGGCTCCCAGCGGCTCTCCAAACACCTCTCTGTCTTCTAAGGCTCGGCCTCTCTTGCCCCATTCCGGGCGGTGGGGGTGCCAACGAGCCCTCCTCTTCTCCCAGCTGGAAATGAACCACACACACACACACACATACCCAAGTTGGTGGTGGGGGGGGGGTCGATCTTTTATTTATATATACAACCATGGGAAAGCCCGTCCAGTTACTTCTCTGAGCGGGCAGAGAGGCTCCAAGCACAACCCCCCCCACCCAACCTCACCTCCAAAACTCTTGGAGCAGAAGGGGTGGGCTTCCCCCCTCCCCTGTGGAGGCTGGCTGAGGAGCAGTTGCCCCTTCCCCACCCCCCTGAGAGCCTGGCCCGAGGGGCCTTCCCTGCCCTGCCTGCCCATACGTGCACCTCCATGCAAAGAGCGGGGGGGGGGGGCACCTTTCTCAGAGGAATTAGTGCAAAACCAAGTGGGGGGGGAGAGAAGAAGTGCTGGGGGGGGGGTGCTACACGTTTTTCACATTTCCGCTAATTCACAGTTATAAGAACCAAAACGAAACGGCAGGCAAGCACATTCCTACGCGGGTTGGCTGAGCTATCTACACGCCTGGGGGTGGGGCGGAGTCGAAAGGGGGATGGGGGGGCTCATCCGGAGCCTTCCCCCAAACCGAGGGCCAACACAGGACGGCAGGGAAGGGGGTACAGCAGAGGCCGGGTCCAGCCGCAAGCGTGACAGCGGCCTCTCTCTCCTGGCAGGGCCCAGTGGGCGCAGGACGGATGCCGGCGGGGAACAGAGTCCATGGCCCCCAACAGCTGGACGGATGCCCCCTCCCTCGGTTCCTGCCTCCCAGGGAGCCGTACATGCCCGGGAAGGGGGGGGGACAGTTCCTGGACCCACTCGTGTGCGTACTGAGCCAAGCACACGGCCAAGACTCACAACACCCACCCTTCTTGGAGCGTCTCCTTTCAGGTTGCCTCTTCTGAGGGCGAGGCCAGAGAGGCGACTGGTCTTAACACAACAGACCCTCCTTCCAAGCACGCACCCACGGGGAAAAGTGGCGCCTGGGAGACACCAGGAGGGGCCGTGCCGTGCGACCCCCAGCATCCAGGGTGGGCCCTCCAACAGTCCGCCGCAGGGCAAAGGGGCATTCCAGAGAACGAGAGGCTTGCAATGAAGAGTCTCTTTCCCATACTCTCGGGGGAGGGGGACACAAGCGAGCCACACGAGGCAGGCCCCCCCCAGGCCCGCCACCCTTCCGCTGCCTCCAATCACGGCTCCTGTCCACCAGACGACCTGGCGGCTCCAGACGCCCTCCAGGTGTTCTCTGCAACGGCCGGAGGAGGGAAAGGCGGAGAAGGAAGCGTCCGGTGGTGCAGGGGGTAGGGGGAGGCCGAGGGTGGGTGGGGGGATCGCCCAGCCCAGCGGGTGCCACTAGCACATGCGCTTGTATGTGTAGATGTAGCCCTTGCAGTTGGGACAGGTGTGCGTCACGTCCTTGAAGTCGTCCAGAAGGCACGGGATCAGGCAGCAGCCCAGGTCGCACCTGCCAGGCCGGGGGAGAGAGAGAGAGAGAGCACAGCTACGTCAGCGCAAAGCCGAGACGGCGTGAACGGAAGGCGTCCACCGTGGATTTAATTGATGTATTTAATTGGGTTCTTGGGCCGCCGTTCCTTGCGAGCAAGGCTCGGGGCGGCTTACGGCAGAAGAGGACATGCCAAAAACGAATAAAACCATAAGGGTAAAGGTTTCCCTTGCTCGAAAACCAGTCGAATCCGACTCTAGGGGGCGGTCCTCATCTCCGTTCCCAAGCCGAAGAGCCAGCACTGTCCGGAGATGTTTCCGTGATGTGGCCGGCGTGACTAAACGCCAAGGTGCACGGAACGCTGTTCCCTTCCCACCGAAGCGGTACCTATTTATCTACTTGCAATTTCTTGCTTTCGAACTGCTAGGTTGGCAGGAGCTGGGGCCAGAGATGGGAGCTCACTCCGTCACGCGGCACTCGGGTCTCGAACTGCCAAACTACCGACCTTCCGGTCTGCAGCTCAGCATCAACCTCTGAGCCACAGCGGTCAACATTACATAAAACCATACAGCAGCAATAATGCATCGGCATAATTGAGTCGATCCAAGACGGTGGGGAAAATGTTCAAATTTCACAGCCACATTGAGACAACCGCCCCCCCCCGCCCCTCCTCTCCAGCGAGCCCCCAGCACCTCCCGCTTTCCCGGCCGCTGGCACCCTCCCCCTCCTGCCCCTCACGTACCCGACGAAGCAGCAGAAGAAGCCCACCAGGAAGCTCATGAAGCCGATTTCGTGGGAGATCTTGGTGGTGATGGCCTGCTGGCAGTGCGGGCAGACCGTGGGCACGGGGGCCGCCTGGAAGATCTCGCCCTGCAGCACCGTCACGGTGGTCGCCGCACCCGAGGGCACCAGGACCGTCCCCGGCTGGCTCCCCGGAGGCGGGTAGGGGCCCGTCGGGGGGTAGTAGCCCGTGGCGGCGTGGGGCCCCGGGGGCATGTAGTAGCCTCCTAGAGAGACGGCACAGACAGGGGCTCGGTCCAGGCCTGGAGCCACAAGGAAGGACACCTGGCCGCCCCGCACTTCCTACGGCCCCTGGCAGCCAGCGGGCACGGGGGGGGGCACCGGTCCTGCTTCACCCGCAGACCAACTGGACGTTCTTGCACCACCAGGGGTTGCAAATGCTCCCTCTTAAACTGTGGAGTCCTGTGAGCAAAAATCCTACTCTGTGAGCTACTATTGGCATTAAAGTTGTGAGCAAGCGATTCGGCTGCTGCACAAATCAGTTGACTCTGGAGCCACATCCTTCCTGAGCCAAGACAAAAATGTGAGAGCCGGAGGCTAAAAAACTGTGAGCTAGCTCAGTGACTCAGCTTAGAGGGAACACTGGCGGGGGACTGTAAGCAGACAGCACCAGGAACTGGCCACACCAAAAGCCGCTCACTTCTTGCCCACCGGGGGACTCAAGAAGTCGCCTCGCCCAACATTCAGGCCGTCGTCTTTCATCTTGCTCAGACCCCAGCCCCCACAACTCCCCAGCGGGCTCCTCTTGGCCCTGTGACCACCCCCCCCATCTGTTCTCAGGCAAGCCAGGAAGGGAAGCTCAGCCATGCCTCTTCCTTCTGTGTTCTCTCAGAGCCAGTTTGGTGTCGTGGTTAAGTGCGCGGACTCTCATCTGGGAGAACCAGGTTTGATTCCCCACTCCTCCACTTGCACCTGGCTGGATGACCTTGGACAAGCCCTAGTTCTGACAAGAGCTGTTTCTGTCAAGAGCTCTCTCAGCCCCACCTACCTCACAGGGTGTCTGTTGTGGGGAGGGGAAGGGGAAGGAGTTTGTAAGCCAGACTCCTTTGGGTAGTGAAGGGCCATGGGGTATAAATCCAATCTCTTCTTCTTCTTCTTCCCTTAGAGTTCAGGCCCCCTGGAAGCCGGGCCTCTTCCGGGGTCTGTCCTGTAGCAGACCTTTCCCTCCGATGGAGTCACTGAGGATTTATTTATTAATTCATTTCTATCCTCAGCCTTCCTCCCCGGGGGGGGGGGGGGAGCACCCAAAGCAGTCCCCTCTGTTCTCCTCTCCCCCGTTTTACCCTCGCCACCACAACCCCTGCGAGGCCAATGAGGCTGAGAGCGTGTGACTGGCCCACGGTCACCCAGCGAGCTTCCGTGGCACAAGTGGGGATTCGAACCCATGTCTCCCAGACACTAATCCAGCACTCTTAACCACGACACCACAGCCGGTCTGAGGCTCAGTGCCCGTGACCTCTGGCGGCACACCCTGGAGCCTCTGTGGGCAAGACCCCGGACAGAGAGAGAGAGATCACTCCAGCACAAGAAAAGCGCATCACCAGCAAGGGTCCCTCCCTCCCTCCGCCTGCCCTCCCCTCCGACTCACCAGGGGGCATGTAGGGCATGGACCCATCAGGGGGCATGGGAATGAAGCCCGGGTGAGGGGGCGGTTCGTACGGAGGGGGCCCGTACTCGGAAGGCGGCTGCGGGACCCCCTGCGGCTGCATCTGCGGCTGCGGCTGCACCATGGAGGGCGAGGCTCTGCCTGGAGAAGAAAGGGGCAAACCAGAAGGGATGGCTTCCTCTTGCGCCACTGGCGCCGGGGGTGGGGTGGGGGGGTGGCACGAGCGGAGAGCGGGGGGGGGCTGGGATTTGCCGGCTGCCTGCCTGAGGCCGACACGCCGGTGGCTGGACCACCAGGGGAGGAAGGGGGACCCCGTGGGAATCGGGGCCTGCCCAGCAAGACCCTCGGTCTAAAACCCTCCCCACTGAAGCCAGGCTGGGGGGGGGGTCGGATCCCCACCCACTGGGGAACGCCGGGAGGCACCCCCCACAAGGGAGAGCCTCCTCCTCCTCCCCCCCCCCTCCGCACCTTACCTGCCGGGAAAGGGGCACCATCCTTCTCTTCTAGGAGGGGGGCTGACGGCCCCCCTGGGTAGGGTGGGGGAGGGTCGCTGGACATGCTCTCTCCCGGCCTGCAAAAGAAATCGAGATGCAGAGTCAGTTGCGGCCCAGCCTTTGCGGGCAAGGCGCGCCGGGGGGGGGAGGGGACGGGGGGGG